CACGGTATGATTTCATATCAATTCTGCCTCAGGGATATTGCTGATCTTTTCCACTCCAGTGATGTTTTGTTAAAAAGTCATTTGTTTACCCTTACTTGTAGAAACTATGAGAAGACAAATTGTTCTAAGAACAGCACTTCATTGAACATCTTACCTACTAGAAAGATATGGAGGAGTTTTCTAGCATCTATTCTTTATCCATTACAAGGATTATTTTAGGTTCCCATCGCCACTCTTGACTGTATGTCCCTTAAAGCTAAAGTTACCTCTCACTCTTCACATTAGCACTTTTGCTAGTTGTTACATTTGCTTTTTAGAGTTAGGCTGACTACATATATTTCTGCATTTCTGCCTATTTCTTCAGTTCCAAGGAGATATTCTCCAGGGAGTTTTCCAGTTAAACATTTAGACTGCCTACCTGATTTTGACTGAGCGCTTCTGCAATCAGCTGAACATGTGCAGGACAATGCTATTCATCCTCTTTCCCCTGGATAGCTCTGGTGGTTTCCAGCAGCATGTGATGAGTTAGGGATCCAGAGCCTGGGGCTTCATCTGGGTCCTGTTGCCTGCCTACTCTCAGTTATTCCTATTGGACTATGTTTACCCAGATTCATCTCATTATCTTCCTCCTTTCTCCTTCCCTCCAATTATAACACATTTCAGTTTATTTCAGGCTAGTTCACAATTGTTAGGTCCTCCAGGCCTGCGTCCAAAGGTCTTCTATTCCTGGAGAGAATAATTACAGCATGAATCCATCTGTGTATGACAAAGGTGCCATCGTAAGCATCTATAACCATGGCTGAAAGGGGGTGGTACTACTTGCTGTTGTCAGAACATTTAACATGTAGGGCAGCACTTTTCATTCATCCAGGTACAGGATTAGGTTTCAAGCTGGGAGTAGGTTTCATACTATTTATAAATATACACAATAAATGCTAATGTTTTCAGCTGTTGCTTGAAATGATGAATTGCTGCCATGACTCTTTGTGTACACCTATGAATTATGGAAGAAAAGTTGAACAGTTCAACACAGAAAAATAAATACCAGAAACCAGGAAGTCAGTGGTAGAGGCTTTGTTTGTCCTAGCAGAAGAGCTTGTACTTCTGCGTTCATCCAAGTTAGACACCTTCTATGCACTGAGCTTTAGAAAGGCAGACCTGCCGCCCACCAGGACCCAGTCATCAGTGTTGCCTCCTCATATCAGAATGGTTGAGTTCTCACATGGAAGTGGAAGACCAGTTCTTCTATCAAGCATAAAATGAGTCATCTGTAATTGTCAGCTTGTTTTCCCCTGAAAGCTGAGCTATTTTGTTTAGTCCAGAGCTAGAGTATGAAACTCTCCTTGATTTCAGAGCTGCAGGCATGAGAGCATGAGCTAAGAGAGAACACTAATGATTCAACTATTACTTTTCTGCAATGGTCAATTAGCTGTTCCCAGCTCTTTCCCAGCTGCGACTCCTTTTACTGAGAATGTCATGTAGCCCTGAAATGCTTCCTCAAATATTGAGCTGGATTGAATTCATCAGCCTAGCAACGGCCTCTTTGTCACACTCTATAGCCCTGGTAGCTGATTTCAGGTCCTCAAGGCTTGTGGTGGATGTTCTCTTCTGCAGTCCCTTACTCTATTTTATGGAACATTATTCAAAATGATTTAAACAGTAAACTAGCAGTTTTGTTCCAGTTTTGCTCCAGTTCTTTAAGCAAGACAATAGCTGTTGTTTCAGACCTTTTGCATTTAGGGGAAGGACTTCTTCTGATGTGTCTTGTCACCCTTCTTTGCTGCAATGTCCCAGGTCCTCTCCTCTGATGCAGTAAGGGGAGGAAGTGATATGGAGCCCCAGAGCCAGCTCTGGCTTAACAACAGTGGAGGCTAAAATCAATTTTGCCACTTCATGCAATTTCAGACTACTTCTACCATGGGAAAGGCAAGGAGGGAGAAGTAGGGGGTAGAGCTGAACACTGAGAGAAAAGCCTTGAAGTGTATGAAGTGGGATGGGGAATTGTGACTGCTTGGATACCTCTAACTGCACAACTAACTGCAGCAGTAGCTGATGAAACATGGCTGCTGGTTGTGGCATCTGCAGCCAGCCTGGCTTTCCAGGGCAGGCCTCTGGCACAGGCAAAGGTGACGCCAGGAGCAGTGCTGTTTTGTTCCCCTCAGCAGCGTGCTGCCGTAGGACTCTGTCTGCAGTTGGCCTTGAGAGAATGCCTGGTAGTCAAAAGAGCAGCAAGGTGAGAGACTAGGCAAGGAAACTGTTATATGCTTCCACCTACCAAGGGATGTTGGGCTATTGTATCTAGGTAGCAGGAGTGCAGCATCTAGCTACTTTATGTGTTGACAGATGTGGGTCATTTCAAAGGAAATGGTATCCTGACAGCACATTGCATTATTAAACCTGTAATTGTTTTGTCTCTTGACAGCAGGTGACGCATTTGACAGATTGACCTTGCTCTGTCAATTCCTCCCCTCCCCTCCCCCCCAGAACACAAGTTTAATTCTGTGCAGACCTCCTGGTATACTCAGACCAAAGGACAGTAGTTCTAAGGATGCTAGGACTCCCATAGATCTTCCAATAAACACCAAAAGGCAAGAATTATTCTCTCACACACTTTCTGTTGCTTTTCAGCTGAGGGTCAGATTCATAATTCCAGCAGCCATCAAAATAATGACATGTGTAGCTGCTTACACCGTATTTTGCTGGCCTGCCTGGTAAGACCTGCAAAGGCAGGCAGAAGCCCTTTTTCCATGTTCTCTTCTAACTCTAATGTCTCGTGTTTGAGGGGGTAGGTGGGGTGATAATTTCAGTTTCAAAAGTGTAGCATTCTAGCTGAAAACATTTCCGGTTTTTGTAACCTGAGTCTTCTGAATTTCTTCTGTTTGCTTTTCAGATCTCCTCTCTAGAGATGTTATCCCGCCTTGGGTTTGAGAGTGATAAAGAAAGGCTGCTCAGAGCCAGCCAGGATCTATATGACTTAGTGTACATCTATGTCTCTTCGACCAACACAATATTCCGGCTCCTCAATGAGCACCTTGGCACCAACTTCCCGATCATTTCAGTAAAAGAAAACTTCAGCATTAAAGAGAACCTGCAGCTTCTAGTTGATGCTTTGAAAGAGATGCAAGCCATTGTGGAAACAAAAGACAAAGATGTGCAGGAAAAAATCAGCCACAGTTTGTATGCTAAGATTGCTGGTCCCATCACCTCTCTGCAGGAGAAGATCGCTATCGTAAAAGATCTGTATGAGAGTTATAAGGGGGTTTTAGGAAGCATCATGGGCGCGCTCATTGCAGTGATGTTGAAACATGGTAAACTCCCTGACGCAGTAGAGTCTGCTATTCATCAGTTATTGAATTCTCCTGCCTTATGCCTCCAAGTATCGGAACTTCTCATGGACTATGCTGATATTGTTAAGACACTGCCACAAAATGAGACACCGAGTACCACAAAAGACAGCTCCTCTTCAAGGGGTACATCTCACTCTCGATCCTCCCCCTCTTCACTTCTTACTTTCATGCAGCTTGTTCTTCGAGGACACAAATCTGTAAAGAAAAGCCTGAAAATAGCAGCTGACTACTTAGAAGAGGCTGTTAGGGTGCTAAGGCCACCTTGTCAAGCATTCCATTCCTTTGTTAAAATGGTTGAGGCCTTCGTCCCACTGATAACAGATAAGTTGCAGGAGACATAAATGTGTTGACATATCAGAAATCCATTTTGATTCCTTTTATTCCCACACAAAGAAGAGTTTGAACATGTTCAAACACACATACAGAAGGTATCTGCAGTAGCTGCTTCTAATCTTTTCCTGTCTTTTTGTGTATTTGGCATCTTTGAGCATTTAGGATCAAAATCAAGTTCTGTTGGTTTATTATTTGAAATCACTAGTAAGCCAAAATCAACAAGAATGTAGCATGAACTATAGATGGAAAGCAAGCTAGTAGTAAAATAGCTCTGTATTAAATCTGTTTTAACTTTCTGGGCAAGCATCTCTGAGGATTTCAGGAGCAGTAGTTCAGTTTGACAGAACATGTTACTAGACTTCAGATGATTAGGTCATGGTACCTGCCACTGCTGACACCTGAATCTGATACCTGAAATGCTGAGCCTCAAACTGCCCCTTTCAAGCTGCTAAAAGCTGAAGGCACCTAAATGCCCTAAGTGTCTGCATTTCTGACACTAGCATTTCTCAGATGCCTAAACTTCTGCATTGCTTGCCACGGGATTTCCAAGGTAATGGCACCACTGAGCTTATAAGGAGTTGCTCAGAGAGCTCCAGCAGTTCACACAGACACTTTTGGCTGTCCTTACTTTTCACTAACTAGCTGATCAGAAACTTGTGCAGCCCTTGTGTTCAGATCTCATTTGGATGACTAAATTGTTGCTTACTGCTTTGGATAGGTAACGGTAAATACAGCGCTCCAGTTTCATGCCTAGTTCAGTGGTAACCGAAAGTTGTTACCACTCAAGGGCTGTGTGTGAAATGTATCAGTGAGAAACAAGCAATGACTTCAGTGGTTGATGATTCCCTGCAAAGTTAAATCGCCATGACTAGTCTCCTTGGACTAGTGAGATAACCGCTCTGACCATAAGCTCAGGGCCTAGGATCAGAGGGGGTGAGGGGCCAGGGATGAACAAGCAAGCCAGGCATTTTGGAAAGGGAAAATGCAGGCAGAAAATTTTCCTTATTTCCACATTGCTGTCTTTTGGAGGTGGGAGAACTGCATAGTTGCTCTATCTTGGGTATCTAAGGCTCTAGGAATGCTAAATGAGTATTGAAAAGTGAGAGGAGTACATAGCTAAATCAGAAGTTCAGATTTCAAATTGTGATGTTAATTTGACCACCAGCATTAGCCATTGCAAACCAGTGAAGTAGAAAGACAGGTTCGGTCACATCCAGCAGTCACTAAGAGAGCAGTGTGCTCCACAGATTTCCCTTCATTTCAGTGTGAAAGGGCCGGCATGTATTCATCAGCCACCAGAGAACTGTTGTGAACACAGCATCTGCCTGAGTTTTGCAAAAGAAATGCTAAAGCCAAACATGAAAGCTGAAGGCAGGCCTGACAAGTCTCTTGATCCTCTGCTACTAGATCTGTGTTTCAGGGCAGCTTTATGCTTCTGTCCCCCATGTGCCAGATGCATACTATCAGCTTGAGATGGGAGCTATCAACTGGCTTTGGAGCATGGGGTCATGCTGGGGGAAGGCTGCTGTGCTGCACCCACAGACTTTGCTGTCTCTTGGGAGCCTGCATGCAAAGGAGATAGGCAACGCTGCACACTTACCAACTAGAGGCTACCATCATAGCGCCTTTTCCATCACACAGCCAGATGCTAGAAACAAAGCTACTCAGAGATCTGTAAAGAGTCCAAAGTCCATATATGTCTTTCCTAAATGCCTGAGGGACAAGCTGCCTACAGTGAAGGCAGTCACTGCCCGACTCTTCAATAAGGCCGCCAGCTGTCCCTCTGCCTGAATGGATCTAGGGAATGCCTATTTTGGTGAACTGGGCTGAATGTTCCAGTCTCAAGTGGAGAGTTGCAGCTAAAGCCGGAGGAAGTGCTGAACTTTCTGTAACAACAGTAACTCTGGTGGATGGCTTGCTGTGAACCCTTCTTGCCTGCTATTGAAGTGTATCTATGTGGATGTAGCCAGAGCATCAGTCACTGCCTGACCAAGCACAAGAAAACTCCAATGACACTAGGAAGAACAGCAGAGGTGGGAGCAGTGAAACCACTGTTCTTGCTTCTCGAAGCTGAAAGAGAGTCAAGAAAACAGGCATTTAGACCTCTTTTGGGTATCTAACACTTTTTGTACTTGCTAACACAGCTCTTACCCAGAACACCCATTTCCACAAGTGTAGCTACTATTTTGGCTTAGGTCCAGGCAAAAGCTCTCATTCCTGAATGACTGTTTTGTGCTCAAAGGTTGCTTTGGCACAGTATTGTCCAAAGAGACAAAAGCGAGAGTCCTGTATTAGTGGTGGACTGACAGAAGGGCAGGGCTATGGAAAAGACCCAGTGAGGTCTTCCAGCGTAGAAGAGTTATTTCTCTGGCCAGGACACTTACAGTGTGTGGTTTGCCAAAGGATACTTCTCCTTCCTTCTGCCACAGGAGAGAGAACAAGGCTAAAGCAGCAGTGACTTTGTCTAGCCTGTATCTAAACTTGCCAGTGTATCAGTGGACCAAAGCTCAGCAGAGTCCTGAGGCCTGAGGTGTGGCGGACTATGCAAACCACCAGAATAATATCTGAATTCAAGCTGCCTGCAAATCTCATCTGCCCTTGCCATAGAGATGCTAGAGACCGCAAGGCATGGGACCTATGACATCCTTGCAATGACAGATGGGATAGGTGGAGGCTGCAAAGACCCCGAGACATTTTGTGTATCAGGTGGATTCATCTTTAGTGAGCTGTGGGATGTTCCCAGGTTCCACAACAAACAGGTGAAAATTGCTGCTTATGGGTCCTAGATTGCTCTAGTAGGCAAACACAGTGAGCAAGCTACTGATCTGGACTTGGCCCCATGTAGGTGCAACCGGTGAGGGCTGCTTAGGGTACTTGAGGCCAGATAGTCCTGCATTCCCCCTGCACAAAGGCCTATGTATAATACCTTCCAAGAGCTGGCAGTGGTACTTGCTGTAGTTCCCCACAGAATGCAGATGCAGGCGGTTACCCTGCTGCGTCTGAGAGAAGTTTTTGACAAGGAATATCTCATAAGGGGGAATGAGGACTTCCTTCTCAGACGTGTAGTGAGAAAAGCCTTGCACAGCTGCTCCCAGGCAAGTTATCACAGTGAACAGAGTTTCATTCCCAAACTTCTGCGCTTCTCTCCAGAGGCGGGAGGTGGACGTGAAACGGCCAAATCTCACTCTGCTGCCTACCGTAGCCTTGAAATATAAGTCTTTTACACCCCTGTGCACCCGGTAGCACTTATGTTTCCCCATGCTCTCCTTGCTGCTCTGCCATTGCTTCATTATTTGGATGGCAGTTGTTAGGTAGAAGTGAAAATATTTGAAACTGAAGTTGTGTCTGTAGTGCTGTGGAGAGCTTCCAGCAATAGATGTGGCCCAGTTCAGCTGGGAGTGCAGGGAGGAGTTCATGGTGTAAGCCATGAGGACTATGGCGTGGCTCTCATGCATCTCCCTCAGCAGACCTACTGGGCTCTTTAACAAAGCCTCCTGAGCCTTTTTCCAGAGACTCAAATAGCTCTTGTTAGCTGCTATTTCTGTTTGGAAATAGTCTCCTCGCTCCAATTCTTCCATCATCTGCTCTCTGCACCCCAGATACTGGTCATCAAAGGAACGCAGAGCCATATCCATCATGTGTTGGGACGTAGCCTACAACATGAAAGCAAACCACGATTAACATCAGAAGTGTGAACTTTTTGTTTATCTCTGTGTAAGCCATGTTTTTCCCTACCCTCTTCCTGCTCTTTGTCACTGCTGGCAAAGCAAGCGCAGCAAGTAGGCATCTCTGACAAGCCCTTCTTGAGCAACCTCAGGCTGTTGTCCAAATCTCATGGCAGGCAAGTACCAGTCAGGATGCCAGAGTCCTCATTTTATGAGAATCAGTGGCGTTAAGAGCTTCAGCAGAGTTTGCAGCAGCATACATATACCAGCCAGCAAGGTCTAGGAAACAAAGCAGAGTTCCCCCACGTTCTGGACACACAGAAAATGATAAGGTATGGCTAGTCAGGCTCAGATCTGTAGAGGGTACCTCAGACGCTGCATTCCATGGCATCAGATACAGACAGGACAAAAATTATGAGGAGCATTGCATTTTGTTAAACCAAATGTTCAAATATACTGTTGGAGATCTACAGGCAATGTTTCATCTTGGTTCTGATGGGACGAGTCTCTGTGCTATTCCCTTAGTAATCAAGTTGAGCTATACTTCCTGGAGTAAAATGGACAAGAGGATAAGGGCTATAGGACAGACCCATGGTGCATTTATTTCTGTACTCCGCTCATGATTAGTAAGTGATTTTGAAGTCGGAAAGAATAAGCAAATCAATATGGTAGGGGGCAGTGCAGCCTGAACATATCTCAGAGGTGAATTTCTTCTTTCTGCCTTGTTATACCTCTCAGACATATTGTGGCTCCAGAGTGTGTTAAGTAAGGGAATATAGTAGCACTATGTCAAAATTTTTATTCATCCGGTTTGTCTCAGTAAGGCCAGGTGGACTTGTCATGTCAATAAACATTAAGCACATGAGTAAGGATTTAAACAACCAGATGGTATAACAGGAGAATAACTTCTAATATATTCTGTCTGCAAAGTGGCACAGCTAATTATATTTCTAGCATTTCTATTTAATTAAAAGCTTCTCTAATAAGACCTAAGAAATAGTGCATGTGGTGACATCATTAGATTGCTCTTTTTGCTTTTTGATCTCTTAGTAGACTATAGTCAAATATTGTAGTCAGTTAGTTGGTAGGTAGCTGAATACTACAAGTAGATGTTCGCTTCATCTTAGATGTTCACCCTGGTCACATAACCCAAATCAATACCTTTCTTGGCCTCTGAAGTTAGTAAACTGTCCCATAAACTATAGAGGGATTCAGTTTACTATCCATGATACCTTAATTACTCTGAGGGAAAGCTCCAAAGCAGTCACAAGGAATAGAGCAATATGGTCACTGTCGCATCCAACAACAGACTGCTGTTGTTAGAACCTCAGATGAGACAGTCTGGAAAAGGAGAGGGACACTTCCATGAGATCTACTCATAAACACACCCTGGGAAACCATCTGGCTCCCAACAAGAAATTTCCAACCAAGTATTTGAAAGGAATGAGGGCAGGTAAGAAACAGAATAGAGCAATTGAAAGCAGAACACTTCTCCCTTTAAGCCTAACCCAAAGCTCCTTAAAGACCATGTTTTAAAGAGAAAAACATGGGTTTTATTTCAGTGGGCTTTGAATCAGTAACTTCTTGAGCAATTTTGCCATTTCAAATAAAGTACAATGTTCCCCCCCCTCTCACCAGCCTTTGCAAGGAGAAGATCAGCAACAGGAGGCCGGCCAGCAGATGCGCTGACATCCTTGAGTCCACCCAAGACATTGTAAAGAACATTGAGCACTCTCAGCATAAATGGAGGTCATTTATCTCAGTTTCTTTCTCTTTGTTCTTGAACTGGAAAATCCTGCAGTTTAGAATTCGCACTCAGGTTTGGGTGAGGATTCTTTGAGCAAAGATCATTCACTAGATTCTTACAGCAAATCAGAAGCCATAAACCAAATGGACAAGGTACTGGCAGAAGTGTCTCCGCAAGTGTTCCTTCATAAAGAAGGGTCTGGGTGCACTGAAACTCGATGAGTTGTTTCTTCACTCCAGTTCCAGCTGAGGTATATGTCCTTCACCTCGATAATTCTCTTAATTCCAAGGTATTTCATCTTCTTGTTTTTCTTTTTGCTTTTTCCCTGTCCAAATCCAATAAATAGAAGAAAGGAAGAGATCCATGGCTTAGAAAAGTCTCTTCTCCAAAGCAGTTCTCTCCTGAGGAGTTATATGACAAGATGATGTGGAGAACAGTCCCTGGTCAAAAGCTTAAAAAGCCCCTTTGAAGAAGTGTGGAGGTCTGATAAAGCCATCTGGAAGCAGAGATAACGTAACTGTCCCTCTCTTCCTTAGGTCCCCCTGGTTTCTAATAATTTGCTGCCAATCCTTATGTCACTGCTGACTGGCACCTCTTAGAATTGTTTACATGGGTACATTCAATGTGAGCGTAGAAATACAGATTCTGTACTGGGACTAATCCCTCTCCACTAGCTGCTCTGCAGTCACCCAATTAAATGGCAGAGAGTTACTCATCTGTTAAGGCCTGTGGCCTCTGACCACTCTTCTGCCCAGAAAAAGAGCCAAGAGGGGATGTCAAGGACTGATTCTGACTGTGCGGAGAAGGCAAGTCCAATTTTCATTGCAGTCTGGTGATAGGTTGGTCAGAGAGATTTTGAGGGGCAAAATCAAGGTTGGTGCTTTGACCGGCAGAGCAGGATACCTGTGGTCATGGTTTGATTCTCTGTGAAACGTAGACATCTGGGCCACTGGCTGGATTCTGTAGACAGAGGGCATTTGCTGGATATTGCTGAAATATGATGAGAGAGGGCATATAGGGCTCATACTGGGTCACTCAACATATTATATGACGCTGCACCAGCAGACACTGAATGAGTGATAATATCTGCAGCCACTGGTGATACGAGATGGTGACATGAAGGATGCAAAGTGATAAATGCAGCCTATCTACCTCTTGGAATTGCCCCATCATCTCAAGCTATAGTTCAGAAAGCAGTTGTTCAACAGGTAAAATTGAATCTGGAGAAGGGGTCATGGACTTATTCAGAGGCATCTCACCCGTTCATGTAAAGGTAAAAAAGACCTAAACTGTGATGGGCTTTAGTGGGTGTTTGAACAGCCAGGGTGAGCAACTACTCTAGAATTGCAGATTTGTTTTCAGTTCATCTACATATTACTCCGTAGCAGCTTATGAACGTGCCTGTTTTTCCCTTGTAGCCTCTTAGTGTATATTTTAGTATGAAGTGAATGAGGAAGAAAGACCGCTGGATTTGTATTTGCAAACACTTAAAATACAGCGTGGTTTATTGTGTCGTGGAGAAAACATCAATGGCCAGAAGATGGCAGCAGAGTATTTGTAGAGGTACCTAAATCTACATTGACCGGATGAAAATTGAGCTCCTCCGTTCGAGAAGTAAATTTGCCATCTGATTTGTGGACTCAGATCCCCAAAGGCTGCAACGGCCTCAGCGATTTCAGCCCATATAAAGATGTGGTGGCACAGAGCAGAGTACATGATCAAGGCCTGAGCATGCACCTTCTTTGCCAAAACTATTTACCAAAAGGGAGAGAAAAATGTGAAACTAACAGAAGGATGCAAATATGGACAGGAAGTTTTGAGTTTCTTTTTTACTGAACAAAAGCATACAAAAAAGAATATTAGTACAAAAATACTAAGGTCCCACTAATCTCTGTAGTACTTTTCCCCCAAAATTTTCACTGCTTTCAATGAGCACTTTGTTTTTATTAGAAGGCATTCAGAGGAGGGTTGTGCTGTGGTCAGTGAAGCCCCATCAGTTTATGCCAATGGAGGAACCAGTCCTAGGTATTTGACCAACACCAACAGAAGTACTTATTAACTGTTTTCTCCTTGCTCTAATATCAGTATATTCCATTTAAGTTATAGCAGCTTGCCACACGCTGGCTGTTCATGCTCATGCCTGCAGCCATCTCTGTGGACTTATCCTATGCCCTTACTGCAGAGGAGGATCTTTAAGAGAAACGCTGAACTCAGTTAATGGTGAATCAGGGAAAGCCTGTCCTGCCTCTCCCTCACTGGGTACTAGGATCATTCCCTGAGTTTCACTGTTGTCACTTCTGAGTCACACTGGGGCACACAAAAGGAGAAACAAGCTTCATGCAGCTAGATCCTGCTCTTCAGTGCTCACAAGAGCAGGCTTTATCTTCCAGAGGTCTCTTCAACCGCAGATAAAAGTTGTATACAGGAACAAAGAGAAACAGCACACCAGCCTGCTTTACATAAGCAGTGTTTATTACAATCAACACAGCTGAGAACAGCTGTACCAGCTAACATGCAGCCATAGAGATTCACTCTTTCTCGGTCTCTTGAGACTCAGCAGTACCTGTCCTCTGAGATGGTACCCTCCATCTACCTCGCAGGGCATGAAAGCTGATACAGGATGTTAAAGGAGACTTTTCAGAAAGTTGCTAATGCATAATAGTCATATAGAAAGAGAATGAAGTAGTGCAGAGGGAAAAGGATATATATTTTTTTTATATATATCAATCAGAGATAGAGCAAATGCTGAGCCAACTTCAACCCATCCTTGAACTGAATTTTTTTTTTTGTTTATGCATTTTATTACTTTTTTGTTTGCTTTTTTGGAGCCGTCATGACACTTTTCAAGCATAAATGTTAAAGTATCAGCAAGGGACAGATTTTTTTGTTTCACTTAGGCATATTCAGATTCACCAGAAATAGATTGTAGAAAAAACAAGAGATTTTCAGTTCACCTTTTACAGTCACTGAATGTAGCATACATATGGAAGGGCTCATCTAAATGGGCTCCTCAGACACACCTTTTGGCATTGATCTGTTATTGCTATACAGGCAAATTTTGTAAGAGAATAATCAGAAGAGTGTACAAGAACCTGATTTCTGGCTATATAATAGTATTTCTATACTTCCATCCTTACAAAACGATCCTACATTGGCACATATTTAGGGTAATCATTCTATCTGAAGGTACTGAACTTTCCTTGTCATTTGTACCAGGAGATGGCAGTCCCCCCATCTTCCCAGTGAGTGCCTCAGAATGAGATCCATCACATTTATATACATTGTGGCATTCTCCTTCTACAATCCCCCTGCATTTTGTGGAAGAAGACAAAAAGTCTTGCTATGTTTCTAGAGCGTACATTGCGTTTCTTGAGAAGAATTGCCATTTTTTCACATAAAGCATCCTGGGGATTCAAATGAAAGGAGGTAAGACAGAATCTTCTCAGCCATCTCTGATGAAGCTCAAAATACCACAAAAGACTACTGAAGAGAAACATTCTGGATGAAGGGAAGAGAGCTAAAGAAAGCTAGACAAGTGGGATAATTTTTGCCTTGGTGTTCCTGTTGGCTAAGGGACAGAACTGAAGAAGGCCCCAGTCTATACCTCTTCCTTCCCACTCACAAATGTCCTTCTCCTGGGGGGGTTCAAAGTGGTCTCGAGCTCAATGAGGGAAGTGACCATCCCATCCTTAGTATCTCCTAAAGAAATGGTTGTAGGCCATGAAAAATCCTATGCTGTCAGAGAGTCACAGGGAGGGTAGTTTTCACAACGCTCGTGTATCTGCTCCATTGCGCTTTTGTAATACGCAGAGTACCTGGAGTAGAGACAGAGAGATGCTGTTCCACAGATTCAGTCGATGCAGTTGGACAGGTTTCACACCCTTGACTGCCATCAGAAGAGTGATTCCCCAGCATGCCCCAGCATGCCCACAGCGGAGGACTTCTCATAGTGAGTTCAGTATCTCTCACATGGGAATAGATCTCCGTAACTAATGCTGGGGAAAGTTGGAACTAACCCTGATGTTACTTAACCCAGCTTAAAGCAATTGCTCCTGAGGCTTTAGCAGAACAGTTAGGTTTTTCTCCCTTCTTCTTAAAACTGTACACTGTTTCCAACCCCATTTCCTGGGTGTCTAGGATCCTTTTTCTTATTTCCCTCTTACCTTTATTTGTGCCCAGTTTCTGCTCATTTTCCCATTAGCCACTATTTTCCTTTAGCTTAAACCGTCTCCTCTCATCATCTGGACTTCTGTCCCCTCACAGCTTTTATTTGGCTAGACTAGGCAAACTCAACTCTTTCACTCTCAGCTACTCACTCTGGATGCCCTTCTCAACTTCTATCTGTTCCAGGCTGAGTTAATCTTTCTTGAGAAGCTTTCTTCTTACTACAGGAGAAGTCCCTCCAGTATCTCATGCACTGTTACTTTATTTCTGTAGTGGAAATTCCTTGGATCACCTTCGAACTCCATTTGTTCCATCCACATGGCTGGACTAACCTCACCTCATGATCAAATAACGCACCAAGGTCTCTCTCTACCTCAGTCCCTCCTAACTGATGCTTACAGTAGAAGCTACTTTTGTGATGCCCCACCTGAAGGGCTATACATTCAGTACTACTGAGTTTCATCTTGCTTTTATCACTCCAGGTTTCAACATCAGTTAGTTCCTCTACTGCAATACTCTGATCCTCTTCCCTACAGTTGAGGCCTCCCAATTTCATATTATTGAAAAATGACATCATCCTTCCAGTCCAAAGATGGATTGAATAGAATTTTTTTTTTCTCCACAGGGCCTATTTAACACAGTCGCTTAACAATCTCTTCCAAGAAATACATGAGGAACATTCTTACATGAGCTGAAATTCCTCCAAATCTTTGTACCTGGGATTTATCCAAATCTTTATATCTAGGATTTCTGCACAAATGGACCTACTCCTAGTAGGATCTGCAGCTTCAGAAAAAACAGCCATTCTGATCTGACCTCATCCCTGCAATAAAGCTCTGCTTCCTTTGTAGGGCACTATAGGCAATGACCAAGGCTCTGTGAAGCTCTCTACCCTGGAGTTTGGCTTTGATGTCCATGCGGGTTAGAGCAGCTTCTAACTTCTATCCTGCTGTCCCAATAGCTAGCTCAGACAGTTAGTACTGTCTTCCTACCTGGGAAGAGTAACAGACTGCAGCTATGAGCTCACCCAAGGATATTTATGGAGAAAGAACCATTCATTTATCAATACGTATCTTCTACGCCTTTTTGCTTCTATGCAGAAACAACATAGGTATACAACACATGAATGCCTTGCCATGTCCCATCACCTTCCCACCCTGTCTTTACAACAAATCCAGGGTCTAGCCCTCAGCCTGACTCATGAGTTGTTACCTTTCATGCAAGTTGGATCTCTTCTGCCTT